AATGTCAGACTTGGTCTTCACATAGGACGTGAACTGGGTGGCAAACAGATCATGTGGAAATATCAACAATAGGAATTTTAGGGACATATATTTCTATAGTATTTGAGTCTGCTTAAAATTGAGAGGATCCTGGCCTGGTTTTATGAGTTCATGGGAAAGTTGAATGAAATAATCTGGAAAAAGTTTGTCCCATTGACTGCTTCATTGGAAACAAGGAGAAGTTGGAAAAGCATGCCATAAATAGTCCAAGGCTACAAAGGTTAGAACCTGTCCCTCCAAAAGTGGTGCATAGGGGTAGCTTTAAAGTGATTGACAAAAATCTTAGCTTTTAACAGTGGGGAACAGAACGTGGTGTATGTTTACGAGCACACACACACTTCTGAAACAACATGGCAGAACCAAAGACCACATTTTAATGCAGCTCAGTTAAAAAAGAGAGGAAAAAGAAGAGATTTTTTTCCTTTAACTACCAAAAACATTTTGAGTTTTAAAAATAGAAAAGTACTAAGTCAATGAAATCATATCACTCAGTGGTATTTTCAGGGCACAGCTATAATGAAATAGATGCCATGCAAAACTGGGCTATCCGGAGAGATACATTTGTTCATAAATTCTGGACACTGTTTTTAGCTTACATTTCACTATATTTATTACCAAAATGGCAACACTTTCACTCTTTTTGAGAAGGGAGAGAATTCATCTCACAAATCAGAAAACCATGTGTAACGGACCAAGTAAAATAATATGCCTAAATATTTCTCCAACAGATAAAGCTTTAGAAGCTGAATTATTTCTGATTTCTAAAAGTCTAATTTATAGTACCAATTCATCTTCCACCTTACTCATGCCTCAGTATTATCTGTTCCACACAAACCTTTATTACTTTATTTATTTAGGATACGGACATTCTTGAGGACCCATAAGCTCTCCGTGTAAACAGGAGCAATCTTTTTTTCTATTATTGAGCTAGGAGCTCAGTAGCCATGACTGGTCAGGAATTAAAGGGGGCAGGAGTGAAATCAGGCCAGGTCTGGCATGACATCAGATGGATACATGGCTATTAAGCCCATGACTATCACTGCTAACAAGGTGGGGAGGAATGCGGGCACTGATTTGTATCTTAAGTTGGAAGGTAATGTATTCTGTCTTCAGGAATGGTTTGTGGGGAATGTTATGGAAGCCACATACCTTTTCTGAGGAGAGCACAGGGCCTCCAGAGCCTTCATTAAAGACCCATTTGTTCCTAAGACTTACATGTTTATCAGTGCAGGTAAGAGGTACATGATGCCCCCATGCCCCAGTGGAGTTCATGAGAACTCTCCCGCAGCGTACTCATTTAGAATTGCACATCTGGAAGTCTCTGCCGACAGCATGAATGCACACATGACAAACCAGCCACTCTGAATGAAGCAGGCAACAGCTGATCAGTAGCACATGGACAGCAGATACACGCTCTTAATTTTAGCGAAGGCCTCCTTCTCCACAAACCCACCACTGCACTCCTGACTCTCAGGGGTGGAGAAGTGTGGGTTAAGGAATTCTTGGATCTCTCTGTGCTCTGAAAGTATACACTGCCCAGGTTTGAATCTGGAAAACTAGTTTACACGATCATCAAAAGAAATCTTGCAATATCTGGGAAATGTATTACAGGGATGTCATGGTGCATATTTAAATGGAAAAATTACTTCTTAATTCAGATGAATCATCAGGATTCCTGGAACTCCAGAACACAAGAGTAACAATTAAAGTCTCTTCTGCTAGACAGACTTTTGTTACTTTGGAAAACATCCTGGAAAATATTCATTTGGCCAGAAATATCATCATAGTTTCATTCAGGATTAGAAATAGCTATTTTTTCAGCATCGATTCATTTGAAAAGAAGCTACCTTGACTATTACAAAGCATATCAAGATCACATTAAGTTATAAGTTGAAAATGCAATACGAGTATTCTTTTATCTTCCTTATTATTTTTAAATGAACAAAAGCAGTAAATAAATGAGTCATTTTGGGAGGAGGGAAGTATGTCACTGAGAGTTCCTATTAATACAATACTTGCCATCTTAATTAAATGTGAGTCAGTAAACCTTATGTGAAAATAACAGCAGTTTATGTCAAATTATTATTTATAAAATATGTACACTAACATAAAACATTAAATTGAATATTGTCTAACTTTCATAACAACTAAAGGATGCAAAAAAGTGAGCACATGAAATAGTCGAACACAGGGAAAACTTTTGCAATGAGCAATTTATTTCCTAATAATTTCTGTAAGGCAGTCTGAATATTAAGAATTACTAAAAAGATTATTAGGCTAGAAACATATAATTTCCCCAAAACAATTTTCTGTAGTGCCCCTTAGCCCCAAAGCTATAATAGTACATGCTCCTTAAGGATGTTTAAAAACATTTAAAATGACTTTAACAATATTCTTGAATTAAAACAAAATTCCATGAGGCCTAACACATTTTAGAAAAATGCCATCAATTGTACCCTGTGGTTGCAAAGGATGCTAGTGTTTTATATTCTGCTTCCCTTTCTACCTTGACTTTTTCTTCCTTACCTCAAGAAAAGACAATTTTCCTCAATAATTTGACAAAAATATTATGTTTAATATGCTCATATTCACTTATTTTCAAGTTTATATATAATAAGAGAATGAGTAAAAATACTCCTCCTCTGTATTACAATGTTAACAGGGGAAATGACATCAAAAACACACATAAAATGGAAAATATACTTCCATCCTAGATTATTAGACATAGGACTGCTATTATAACATATAAAAATCTAAGAAACCAATAATCATGTCAGAAAAAGAGACAAGCAATTCACCATATGTGAAATACAAACAGTCAATAAATATATGAAAAGCTGTTTATTGCCCAATAAAAATAATATTTAGGTAGAGATATGATTTCCTATCAAATTGGTGCAAAAACACCTTTTAAAATATTGGTAAAATGTCTTATTGGGAAGAGTATGTAGAAATAGAAACTCCCATACATCGCCCTCTGTAGACGGATTTAAAGTTTTACTGCTTTTTGAAGAACTATTAGGCCAAGAAAGAGGTATAAATTCTTAAGTCATTTGACTTCTAAGAACATAACCTACTAATTCATTCAGAAATGCTTATTGAGAAACCCACTAACACTTTTTAAAATGTGCAAAAAATACATACGAGTATGCTTATTTCATATTGTTTCAAATAAAAGAATGGAAACCTGATCAGTAGATTATGTAAATTAGTATATATCATTGTGATGTACCACCAGGAAGCCGTGACGAAGACACAGATGCACTAGGTTCGTCTGCATATGGTCCATTTGTGCAAGCTCCACGACGCCAGAGCATTGACCCGAGTTTGCACATTTTTGCACCTTCAGGTTACAAACATGCTGAACACAGACAATGGCCACATTTTTATAACAATTCTGTATAGCTCACCTAACTGTCACTACAATATTTCTCTAAAAATTTCATCAGATTTTATGCATCATTTTCTTCCAAGACATTTATAAAGAGATAAAAAACAAATCTGTTACCTTTTCAGCAAAGTAGGTATAAACAAGTTCAAGAGCAAAAGCTTATGCAGAAAATGCATCCTGCTTCTATCAGGAGCTACCATGCAAAGGCCTTGTTGCCTTTAAGTTGTGTGACTTCCACGGAAAAGCAGATTTCTTGTCAGTCCTCCTTTACACAATCTGTCCCTGGCTTGATTCCCAAAGATAATTTGAAGGGAGAGATACTACTTCACATTTAAAATTATATCTGGAAGGCATTGTCAATTATAAAACTTAAATTTACAAGAATGTTAAAAATTACATTTATTGAGCTTTCACCTTGGACTTTTCTAAGTAGGGAACATTTTAAACTAGGATAATTTTTCTAAACACAGGCATTTACTATTATTGAAGCAAATTTCATCATTTTACATCTTATAAATCAAGGTATCTTGACTTACCAATTTTATTTCACCCAAAATACATTCTGGTTGTGTTTTCATTAGCTTCCTTTGTTAGAGTTACCTTAACAAGATCATCTTAGAATAAACACTAATAATGTACCTGAAATTTATAGTCTCACAAGGGAAAATAACAATATGTCAACTCTCAATTTCCAAGGCGTACAGAAATTAAGAAAACTAAATATTTACGTGTCAATTGGGCAAAACAACTTATCATAAGAGCAGCACCACCCTACACTCTTCTTAAGTGCTTGACCTGAATGTCTTTTCTCTATGTCCAGGTTACTAATTGCTTAAAATGAATAAAAGGTCAATTTTGGAGGTGGACTTAATTAAAACCGTTATGAAGGAAATTTGTGTCTTTTCCATATATAAGTTCTTCTTGGGTTGGGATCTTGAGATATCCACTTAAATAGCATCCCTTTAAAAATAATTAGATTGTGGTAATACATTAAGGAATAAAAGTTTCTTTCTTGAAAAAGTTATATTCATTTTCAGACAGTTCTGGTTCTGTTCCTTACTGTGCCAACCAAAATCTAAGTATTGAGATGGTGACCTCGGTTTACATGGTTCTGTGCTACCTGGCATCAGGATGCAGTTCCAACACGCATGCATTTCAGTTTACACGCTACTGAGTAAAGTGAGTGCCGACTGTACCCTGTTCCAGTCTTCTCAGTTTCACAGGAAAGACACCAGTGTAGTGGAACCAGGTCACCTGAGGGCAAACTTTCATCCAGCAATTCAAGATCTATTACTCCAATGCCTGCACTGCTCTGTCTAATTGAGGACTATGAAAACTTGAACAATAACAAGAAAAGACAACAACAAAAATATGTCATTTTTTGCAGTTGAATAGAATGGATTTTAGGTTAAATTTTTAAGAATTATAGTTGACATACAATTTTGAGCTACATTCTGACCTGAAGGTTCTCATAGAATTAACGCAGGTAACTGATGACAACCTACTTTTAACATGTTGGTTTGCAAAAGATGGTAAAGCACGCCCTGTGCCAGGCACATTTGGTACATACCTCAAAGCCGGGACTCAGAGGAGACTGAAAGGCGGAGTTGTAAGAGCAAAAAGCAGGCAAAGGAGCAGAACACAGGGAGGAAAAAGACAAGACAAAAAAAGAAGAAGAAAACCAGTGTTATTGGAGGCAAGCAATGCATATTATTGAATAATATTTTATATAGGTTTGTTTTCAAGAAAAAGCAAAATCTTATACTAATCAGTCTTTGTGGCTACAGAAACATCTGACTTTGGAATTACTTTGTAACATTTAAATGGAACAAGAGACACAAACTCAAGGTTGCAAAAAAATTACACTGTGAACCAGTAGAGGCAAAAAATAAAGCTACTTGTCATACATGTCAGGAATGACAAGACGGTTCTCTCACCTTGTTGAAAATAAATTATCGTCAGAATGAAGCATTTTTGACCTTTGAGTGAAAGATTAGATTTTTTTCACAATAATTTATCCTCTCAATGGGAAAAGAAAGGAAAAGGTCATCAAAGTAATCAAATGTCACACAGTTGTTATCTGCCTGCAGGCAAGAATAAGCTGTTGAATAATCAGCTTCAGTCAGTGGTTTCCAAACCTGGAAAGTCCAATGGTGGGTTAGACTTGTAACGACAGAAATATGCCACGGTGCATTTTTGCTCATTTTGAAGTCTTTGCTGTGTATCCTGGTTTTCTGTCTGATTTCATTCGAGTTTGAAATATAACTCACAAGTGGCAAGGTTATTCTGGATTTTTTAAAGAGGAGGAATATCAATGAAGACAATAGCAGAAAACTCTTGGTTAAGTAGACAACACATATCTGGTAATTTATACTGAATATGTTCATTTTTTATCCCTGCTTCCTGAAGCTTTTTTGAGCAGCTCTCTCTTTTAACTAGAAAACAAAGCAAACCTAAAATATGGTTGACTCTTTTTCATAACCAAAATACATGGCTGTGTTTTCAAATCAGTGCTATTTCTTGTGTTGATTAAACTTTTGCACACTACTTTCCATTGAGTACCCAGAGAACTTGTTTCCTATTATTGAATAATATAATTTCTATAACCCCATTTTCTTTCAATTGATTGATAAGAATCTCAGAACTAAATTAAATTATCAATTATTTTGATAGAATATTTTTATTTTTCTCATATGAGCAGTAATAAAAAGGCCTAATAAACTTAGTTCTTGATATGCATTTGTTTCTAGCTTTTAGCTATTATGAACAAAGATGCTAAAAATATGCTTGTAAGCATACCATTCACATTAACACCGTTAAGAGAGGAAATACCCAGATATAAATCTAACCAAATATGAATAAGTTCTACATGGAAAACCACAAAATTCTGATGAAAGAAATCAAAGAACTAAATAATAAAGAGATGTTAATGGATAGGAAGACTCAATATTGTTAAGATGTCCGTTCTTCCCAACTCGATCTACAGATTCAATGCAATCCTGACCAAAATTCCAGCAAGTTATTTTATAAATATCAACAAAGCAATTCTCAAGTTTATATAGGGAGGCAAAAAACCCAGAATAATCCAAACAATGTTGATGGAAACAAACCAAGCTGGAAGACTGACATTGTCCGCCATTAAGACTTACTATAAAGCTACAATAATTCCGACACTCTGGTACAGGTGAAAGATCACACAAACAGATCAATGAAACAAAATAAACAGCTCCAAAATACAGTCCCCAAAATATAATCAACTGATCTTTGACAAAAGAGCAAAGGCCATAAAACAGAGCAAAGACAGTCTCTTCAAGTGGTGATGGGACCAATGGACATCACATTAAAAAAAATCAGATACAGACCTTACACATGTCATAAAAATTAACTCTAAATGGTCCATAGGCCTAAACATAAAGCAATACTATAAAACTCCTAGAACATGACATAAGAGAAAACTTAGATGACCTTGGATATGACGATGACTTTTTAGATAGAAAACAAAAGACATATCATGAAAGAAATAACTGATAAGTTGGACTCCAATAAAATTTAAAAAACAAAACAAAAAACTTCTGCTCTTCAAAAAACAATGTCAACAGAATTAGAAGACAAGCTACACAATGGAGGAAATATTTGCAAAATATACATCTAATAAAGGATTATTAACCAAAATATTAAAAGAATTCTTAAAATTCAACAAGAAAACAACCCAGCTTAAAAATGGACAAATGACCTTCACAGAAATCCTATAGAAGGTATATAGATGGCAAACAAGCACATGAAAAGATATTCCACATCAAATGTCAAGAGGAAAATGAAAATATAACATCAATGTTAGACCATTATTCACTTATTAGAACGGCCCAAAATCAGAACACTGACAGCATCAAGTGCTGATGAGGAGCAACAGTAACTCACACCCACTGCTGGTGAAAATGCAAAATGGGACAGCCACTTTGGAAGACAGTTTCTTACAAAACTAAACATACTCCTACCATAAAACCCATCAGTCATGCTCCTCGATACTTAGAGGAGCTGAAAACTACTATCTACACAAAAACCTGCACATGGAGGTTTACAGGAGCCTTATAACTGTCAAGACTTGAAAACAACCAATATGTTCCTAAGTAGGTGAATGAATAAACTGTAGCACATCCAACAACAGGAAATTAATCTGCACTAAACATAAATCAACTATTAAGCCATGAAAAGACACGGATAAACTCTAAATGAACACCACTAAGTGAAGGCAGGCAATCTGAAAAGGCTACACACTGACTGTATGACTTCAAATATATGACATTCTGGAAAAGGCAAAACAATGGAAACAATAAAAAGATGAGTGGTTGCCAGGTACTGGATGGAGGGGAGGAGGGATGAATAAGCAGAGAACAGAAGATTTTTAGGAGAGTGAAAATTCTCTGTATGATACTATAATAGTGAATGCATGCCATTATACATTTATCTAAACACATAAAATTTACAACAGCAAGAGTGAGCCCTAAAGTAAAGTACAGATTTTGGGTGATTATGATGTGTCAGTGTATGCTTGTCAGTGGTAACAAATACACGGCTTTGGTGAGTAGTGTTGATATGGGAGAGACCATGCATGTGTTGGGGCAGGGACTATATGAGAAATCTGTGTACCTACTTCTCAATTTTTTAATGAACCTATAACTGCTCTAAAAAAAAGCTGAAGGGATTAAGAAGTACAAATTGGTAGTTACAAAACAGTCACAGGGGTGTGCTGGGAACCCACCTGCCTAGTTTCAGAAGCTGTAACCCCCCACGGCTAAGGCTGAGTAAAGAGACCTTGGGACCATACGCCACTAAGGAGACGAAGCTTATCTTCCTGGCAGGGGCGCTAGACTCTGTCCTCTTTACTTCACCTTGCTTGGCCCCAGATGGATGACTGGTTAGCTAATGATGGTTAAGATTCCTCAAGAAAGGGATGACCTAAGACAGGCATGGTCATGAAGGGGCTCCAGGACTTGGGGGGGCTATAGAAAGAAGGGGGTGATGGACCCTCATACCTTGGCTTTAAAAGAGCCTGAGTCCCCGTTCTGTCTGTAAGAAGTCTCCTATCTCTTGGCTGCCTTCTTCCCCTGCCCGACTGAAACAATGCTGGGGGGCATTCCTGCCCAACACTCCTGGGCAGGAATGGGTGGCTCCCTGGGGAGATCAAGCCTAAGAAAGAATGCACAAAATCCTGCGAAGAAAACTGCTTTGCTAAAAATGCCCTCAATTTTCTGATAAGGGTCCAAGCATGAAATGAATTTGCTTCCCAAAGTTTTATAGCCCTTTAGCTATCAGACCCTGACTCAGAATAAACCCTGGTAGTTCTTTGTATGTTATCTATTGTTTGATCCTTACTGACAATGATGGATGAGCTTTACCTGGACTGGTGCACACACTGAACCCAATAAAAGTCCACTGAGGAACAGGCTCCTGCCCTTCTCCTTTGAGAGCTACGCCATCTTTCCTCCCCAAGCAGATCAGGTCTTGGTAGACTTATTCTTATCTGTGACAGCCAGGTGGCTCATCAGGGGAACCCCTCCCCCCACAGGGAGGTAAAGTACAGCATGAGGAACATAGTCAATAATATTGTAATAACTATGCTTAGTGTCGGGTTAGTATTAGACTTATTGGGGGGATTATCTTGTAAGTTATATAAATGTCTAACCTGAACCTAATATAATAAATTATGTCTTTAAAAATAAATTAAATAGACGCCTGTACATGTTTTCCTGTGAGTATCTATACACATTTTTGTTGAATATACCTCTAGGAGAACTGTTGAGTCATATGATATGCCTATGCTCAGCTTTAGAGGGTAACTGGCAGAAGTTAACTTTGGAAAACGAGTTTCCTAAAATTGTTGAACCAATTTATATTTTCAGTAGTCATTTATAGGTGTTCCACATAAGCAAGCGATATCTTAATCACTTACTGTATTTTTTTAAGTTTATACACTATAGTATAGAGACATCTCACTGTAGATTTAACTTTAGTCTCCTTGATAACTATGAACATGATGTAAAGTACATTTTCATGTTTGTTGGCTATCTTTCTCATAAAGTGTTCAAGTGTTTTGCCTATACAGTACAGAGTTGTCTGTCTTCTCATTTTTTTTATAGATGCTCTTTATACATTCCAAATGAGTCTCTTATAGGATATATACATTGAAAATTCTCTAATTTTGTGACTGGCTTAACAGAATACTCTCTCATACTCTGACTTAATGGTATATTTTGATAAAAAACAATTTCCTATTCTTAATAATATCCAATTTATTATCTTTTTTTCTTGCCGTCAGTAATCTGAGTCCTGTTTCTTAGACACATTTTTTCTACTGGCCCCGGAAACCTTTGCTGAAACCACCCTTTCCTCACAGTAGTGCTGCTCTGTCTTCACCAGCTGGCCTGTACGGCCTTACAGTTTCTGGACTCTCTGTTGCATTGATTTATTTTTCTGTTCCTGCGTGATACCACATGGACTTAACCGTGGCTTTACAAAATGCTTGGAAATTCTTCAGCTTTGTTCTACATCAGGGGCTGTGCACTGGGGCCATCTTGTACATCGGCCGCTCTGTGATTTCGTTCCTGCTGAGACATTGGCGCATCAAATCCTGATGGCCCTGGGTGCTCGGGAACCTTCATATATGTTTTGTTTCACTTTTTGTTATATTTTATTCAGTTTTTATAATTGTCCCTTGCAGGACAGCTGATCTAATACAAGCCTCTTCATACCTCGGAGTAGAAGTTTTGGAAAAGATTATTAACTTTTTGCATAAGATTAAGTCTTGCATAACATAGTTTTAAATGGCTTTAACTTTTCCCAAATACCACAAGAATATTTGTAAATAAGAAAGATGTGTAAAGCATAGAGAAATGGTAGGGTCGCTTTTTTTTTTTGAGGGCTTAAGGAAATTAATTTTTTTATTTCTTCCTCCATCTACCAAATTTGATGTTGTATAAGTGGATTGTTGCAGAAGTAATCTTCTACTTACAGATATTTTCCTGTATGATGATATTTCTGTGAAGTAGCATGAAGAAAGGCATGTATAACTAATCAATTTATGTATTTAATTTTTTTGTTTTTTGATTTTTAAATTTCTTTATTGTAATTTTTTCCATCACCATTTAGTCCCCTTATGCCCCCTCCAAGCAATTACCAAACTGTTGTCCAGAACCATAATCCTTTTCCCTTTTTTCTCAATCACTCCGTCCCCTAAACTACCACCCCCAGCTGTCACCTGCTCTCCATCTGCGTCTGTCCCCATTTTCCATGTTATTTCAGTTTGTTCATTAGATACCTCATATGAGTGATATCATATGGTATTTGACCTACTATGACTGGCTTATTTCACTTAGCATAATATTTATTCTCCAGTTCCACCTATACTGCTGCAAAAGGTAAAGTATTTCTTCTTTTTTGTGGCCAAGTAGTATTCCATTGTGTAAATATCTTAAGTTGTTTTATCCACTCATCTATTGATGGACACTTGGGCTGCTCCCCTATTTTGGCAATTCTAATAACGATACAATGAACATAGAGGTGCTTATGTTATTTCGAATTAGTGTTTTGGGTTCCTTTGAATATGGAATACCTGGGTCAAAAGGCAGATTCACTTTTAACTTTTTGAGGTAACTCCATACTGCTTTCCATAGTAGCTGCCTCAGTCTGCATTCCCACCAACAGTGTAAAAGGGTTCCCCTTTCTCCACATTCTCGCCAGCACGTTTGTTGATTTATTGATGACGACCATTCTGACAGGTGTGAGATGATATCTCATCGTGGTTTTAATTTGTACTTCTTTGGTGATCAGGGATGTTGAGCATCTTCGCCTACATCTATTGGCCATCTCTATGTCCTCTTTGAAGAAGTGTCCAGCTGGCCATGGGTACCCGTATGAGTACAGCTGGCCCTCTTGTGCTTCCTCTGCATTCCCTACCATTCTTGCTGTGGTGAAGCGGCTTCTTCTGTCCTTGGCTGTAAGGCTTCTTGTCCAGCTAGTGTTCAGCTGGTTATTCAGGATGATTTCTCTACAATTCAGTTGTAATTCCAGATTGGTGCTGGGAGGAAGTTAGTGTAGCTTCCATTTATTTCTCTGCCTTCTTGGATCTCAGGATAGGGTCATTTAATCCCAAATTCTCTCCTGCAACTGTCTAAAATTCTACAAAATTGATGATGTTTTAATATGTATATCTATATGTAATGATGTAGTAGTGAGTCTGATTTAAGGATGCTATCTTTTTCTTGTTTATTTCTAAATATTGGGATGATTTATAAAATGATAAATACTCCCTCGTAGCTGTTTGCCGTAAATTGACTACATTTTGGACTTTCTTAAAAGAGGAACTACTTTATGGTTGGTATAACAGACACTGTTTACTACCAAAGTTGATGACACACAGAGCTTGTCATATAACCTATGCTGTTATCCTCTCTTTCTAACTGAGCAACATTATTGAAACATGAAATTCAATATATATGCCCAAAATGGATAAATTATTGAAATTACTAATATCTTAACATATATGTGAAATGATGATTTTGCAGTCAAAATAGACAATCAAGTACAGAAAAGGAACACCATTTCCTTACACTTGAGAGAAAATCCACACTAATCATGGTAGACTTGCCATATAGGTGACCTGGTAGCATTAATAAGCAATGCCATTATCTTTTTCAGTAATAAAAATATCATTTATGGCATGTAGCACTGAAAGGTTTCACTATTATTGGCATTATATTACCTTTGACTAGGTATGCACTGCAAATGTTAAACTACGGTCACTGGCCTTTCATGTCTCACCTAGGGATGAAAAGGAACATATTCATTGCACTTCGAGCGAGCCTGGGCAAAGCAGGGTGGCCTTGCCCGGCAAAAAGCTGCCAAGGCCTGGCTCAAGGAAGCGGGAAGTGCGTGTCCTCCTCGGGGGGGACTAAAGTCTCTTCTTTTCTCAGGAACTGGGTGAGAAGAGACAGGAAGGCACCCATGAGGGCGCAGAGGGCGGGATGCAGGTAAACCAACTGCGGAGCCCACGGGGCAGTGCCGCCACGGGACGTCCAGGGCCTTCTCATTTGAGGGTTGCCAGTGGCACATTTCACACAAGGTTAAAAGTGTTCATGATAATATTTTTCAAAGTATCTTACAGCCCCCAACATTTTCTCACTTCGTAAATATCTAATTGGATCAAAGTTTTACAAGCATTCTTGAGAGACGTGGTCAAGATTTACTTTTTTAAAGTACATTTTAAAAACACACTTTAAGCATTCTACCACAATAACTTCCATTCAGTAATAAAGAACTAATGAATAACATTTGTTGTAAAATATAGTGCAAATATAAACTCAAAATACTAAATAATTATTTGGTTAAATAAAGCAACTAAATAATTTTTTTAAAAAACACAAAAACTTTCCCTGGCTGGCATAGCTCAGTGGATTGAGCATGGGCTTGTGAACCAAAGGATCATGGTTCAATTCCCAGTCAGGGCACATGCCTGGGTTGCAGGCCAGTTCCCAGAGGGGACACATGAGAGGCAACCACACATTGATATTCCTCTCCCTCTCTCCTTCCCTTCCCCTCTAAAGATAAATAAATAAAATCTTAAAAACAAAACAAAACAAAAAAAACACAAAAACTTGTGTTAAAGACTACAGTTATGTAACCTAAACTATAATTGTATATAAACTATATACTCATACATATTTGCATGCATATAATTTAAATGTATAATTTATACTTATGAAATCTAAATTATACCTGTGATGTTTTGATGTATATATGTGTATGTAAATGTATATACATACATAAGTATATATATTATAAAAAGTTGAGATAGATTTAAAAGATCTTTAGCATTAATCATCTAGATTCTAATCTATTCCAATGATGAATGACTTTAGAGCATTAGATTTCTTATGAGACATTAAATAATTTTTAAAAACTTTCTCTGACAAAACTCCAAATAATACACAATTAACTTGTAATTATTTTTCTAAAACTTGTCTTTAAATGTCTATCCTGTAAACGGTATGACTCTCAGGAACTATCCTTAAAAGCAAAAGTAACTTGTAACTTTTAAAATCACTGCTTATAAAAATTCAACTAAATCAAGGAACTTCAGAGTTGGAAAGGTGACATGAGAGTTATTTGAAAAAGTAAATAGCTTTTGATTTAAGCATTTTTCTGTAAGAACATCACTAATTCCAATTAATGCAACGTTATTGAGCAATCTATAATCACACACATACATTCTGAATAGCTGCCGAAATATAACAACACATTCTTCTGGTTATCGGTGGAATTCAAGTACCTGCCTTCTCCCAACACATTCATGAGATAAGGTCTGAAAACACAAGAAACTCCCAAAAGAAAGTCTTGAGAAAACAGAATATGGAATTTTCTTGATCACAAAAATGAGCATTCAACTGAGTTATATGTCTAGCTCATGCTGTAACAAATTAACATGACATAAAGATCACAATAAAACATGTTTCAAACAATGAACTAGTTAAAACAAGTTTTTAGAGGTGTCTTAAACATGTATTGTCACTCTCCATTCCAAGAAGGATTTATTTGAGCTAAAAGTTTTACTAATTTTTCATCTTTTTCTTTAATGACTTCTTCACAACAGCTAAATTGTAAAGAGTCTTGTAAAATCCATTGGGGGGAAGGAGTGAATATGAGAAATGTAAAGCCTCATACCATTAGCTGATTTAAAAAAATGTTCTTATTTTAAATAATTCACATAATTACAACTTTTACTGTGTTTTCAATGTTTGAAAATCCAAGTTTAATTTTCCTAAAGAATAATATTTAAGCCATATGGATCAAATATATATCTTAGAGCTAATGGAACAATTTAAGTGTTAAGTGCTATTTTTTTCACAGCATTTGTCAATAGTGTCATTTCAACAATGCACCGGAATGTACGCCAGCAATGGCAAGCAATTAAAGACTTTCACATTTCCATTAACAGAAAATTTCAGATTTTCTCCTGGAATAAATATTCAGCTATGCCACAAAGGACTTTAATAATCTTCACAGGAAAACATCTTTTATCTCTATTTTCCAGATTCTGACAAACTAGGTTTTTCAACATTCACACATCAGCGTGTGCTGTTCTGGCCCTAGGACTGAGGTAGAAGCCAACATGTTCTGTAACGGGACTGCCTCACAGAGAAGAGCAAACCTGATGAAGCGCTGACCATGCTACCGAGCAGGCCCTGAGGAAACACAGTCATGTGCACCCTGGCCGAGTCCTCCCTCCCCGGGCACTGTCCTTGGAGTTATCACCTTGTGCCACAGACTTGTCATGTGAAAGGGGGAATGGTTGAACAGAAGGCCCTACCAGAAGGGGCTCATCGGGGACACTGGTAGAGAGCTCGGCAGACGCTGTGCGGACTGTGCTGAGCCCAGTGAGGGAAACGTTTGACAGCCTTCTCCGCCTCACACCACTGCAATTGTTGGGGATTTTAAATGCACATCTCTTATGGTAATTCAGACCACATCCTGGAAAAAGAAAATAAAAGTGACTTTTGTTCAACCATAAATTAAAAGCTAATCCAACACCAGTTGTAAATTTCAAATTTTTAAAAATAGTACTGCTTCCATGTTATTCAAATTTTCTTTTGAGATTTTGCTGATTTATTTTTCTGTAAATAATCTGGGTCTTGAATTTTGATTTTACTGGATGAGCTCAGCAACTATTATGATTATCATTTTAAAAAATTTCCTTTGGTCTAATGAATTTTGGCTTTGAAGGACCTAGGAGCAAAAGTCCAAAGAGATGATTAGCCATTCTTAACTGCCACAAGTTCTGATGTGAGTGGACACATGGAAAAAATTAATCACAAAGCATCATAACTTCTGCCCTACATTGATTTAAATTCTGGCTCCGCAGTTCAAGGATTTCATTCCACAGAGGGGGATAAAACTATGACATTGGTATACAGGTGTGGCACAAGTTGTATCTGCCATTCGGTAACTGAGAGACCTTGGATGCTTTGAGTAACCTCCTGAACCTCTGCTCATCTCAACAAACATTTATTGAATGACCACTATTCCAAGACTGGAATTAAGACACCAATTTTATTTTTCGTCTATTGCCAAAATAACACACACAAAAGAAATATATTCATATGAAACAGGGAAAAGTTGTGAGAATTCAGTTTCCCAGGCCAGAGCAAATACATCGAAGACAGGAAATATACAAAAATGAACAGAACAGAACCCATGTGGTCTCCAAACCCCGGGAAGGTATCTGAGGCAGAGAAAGCATTGTTGTAAAGGGCACAACATAAGCAGATAATTCCAGCCTGTGTTCAGCTTGGTTGGGGAAGGAAATTTCCTACCTTCACATTTAAGGCCTTGGCGGACGAGCCCCCACAGCATTTCTCCACAGTGATCGCAGAAAGCTGGGGCTCTGTATGAGTGAACAAAGAGGGCGTGGGGGCGAATCTGGAAGTCCTCAAAGGTGGCAGAAGCTGTAAAAACAGGAATGTTGAAAATTGAGTTGAACGGATACCCTGATCTGTACATAACTAGTGTGCAAGAGAATTAATATGCAAGTACAGGTATGTAATAACTCCGGGGAAAGCTAGGAAAGATGAGTTGCAACACTGCTTGGCTTTTAACCCACAGACTCCATTCTTTCCAACAACAGTTTTACAAATGGTGCTATGCAGCCCTCTCCTCTACTTGCCAAAGTCTCAGGCCACTTTGAAAGTAGCCAAAATGCTCAAAGAAAGCATGAATGAAAGAATAACTCAACTCAATTTACAAATACCTGCTGTTACTTTAAAATATTTTGCTTTTTCTTTCCTTAAATGAACCCAAAAGAAATTCATAAATCTTAGTGTAAATAAACTTTTGATGAAGTTAGATCAGAGGTTACATCCTTGAATATAACCATGAATACTCATTCATTAGAGGGGTGGGGCCCAATGAAAACACAGATAAGAAATCTTGAGCAGTGTCTTCTTGTGGAGATGGGTATTTGACCTCTTAGGCAAGACAGGTAAGCATATAAATCCTGACCTAAAAATAAGCAAGCAGCCTCTTCACCCATATGGCAGAGGTTTAATACAAAACAGGTGAACTCCAGTCGTAGCAAATGATAGCAAATGATATCCATGCTGTAGAACATTTTTTGTTCTTGCTTACTTTTTTCTCTATGGTATTCATGCAGAATATTGAAATTCATTATTTTTCATTATACTTTTCTACAAGTATTTATGATATACATCATAAATGTGTGATGAGAGTGGTTTTGTTGTTGTTGGTAGTGGTTGTTGTTCTGAAGAAACAGAAAGGTATAAAGAATTAAAAGTGAAGGACCACCCCTTTTCCCAAATTCTAAATGGGTGGGGGTGTATCTTGTACACCAGTTTGCATACACAGCCTGATGTTGAGCCCGCCTCAGTTTCTCAGACACTGAAAGAGAAGGTCTGACTGATGGTAGCTTCTCCAGGCCCTTCAAGTTCAAACTTCCATTGTTAGGACAAATCCAGGGGACAGACCCATGTGCTCTTGATTTCATAAGGTTTTATTCAGAGAGAATGTGGGGAAAATTTAGGCTTTACATATATCCTTCTATTTTGTCTTCCTCTTGTTTGCCCTCTTGTGTTATTTTTCAACACACATTTGTCAGGCACCTTCAACATTGCCAATGGCACATTGTAGGGGGATAAAGATATAAAGGTTAGTAAGATGTCTTCACAGAGCCTACGACACTAGCAGGAAAGACAGGTCAAACAAACAAAAAACCCACAGTAATTATAAAGTTACTTCTTCAGTTCAGAGAAGCTGAAAATTGGGAAGGTACTCCACCTCTGCTACAGAGGTGTCCACAATTATGAGAATAAGTTTGAGGGCATCACACCCGTCAGGGCAGGTGATAATAGAACATGCAGGGAAGTGAATCAGATCTGCCAGAGGGAATATTACTGAGGGTTCACAGGACCTATAACTGGACCTTAATAGAAGATTAAAAATTTAATGGGTTGGTTTTTCCTTAAACCTTGAATAAAATGACTTCACTCCAAATTAATGTGATTTACAATTGAAAATCATCTATTGGCTTGTTAAAGCTATGGCTTTTACTCAATTAGGTATATGATGAAAACAATAACAGGAATAACTAAGACTTATTAAGCTCTAACTGTATAATGAACCCTGTGCTCAGAGATGTAAGTGTGGGAAGAAGGAGCTGATGAAGAGCTGTAGCCCGGCGACCATGCACTGGCATCGCACACATGGAGTCCTACCTAGTGTTAAGATTACTCATAAAAAAACTCAGCCGTATCACTTTTGAGAAATTGTCTGTTATGTTTCTCACTTCAAGATTCACAATATAAGGTCAATTGCTTATTCTCAGTAAATCAGTAGAAAGATACTGTTGGGTCCCTTTCTTGGTCTGATCAAAATGTGTCTAAATGTAGGAATGAATGCTAAACACTCTTTAAAGCTGGTCTGTCATACTCATGGGCAAAATTTGTTTTTAAATCATCAAAGAAAATATTTAAAGAAAATACTTTGTGCCAACCATTAACTCCTGGCTTCTCCATCCGTATCCCACCCTCAAATGTCACCCCTCAAGCACCAAACAACTATGACAATACTATGACAGCAATTAGTAGAATAATTATGTAGTTTTCAAAATAAGGCACATTAGAATTTGACAATACTAACACCAAGTTGCATTCAAATAGTTCTCTAAATTAATCAGGAAGAATAAAAATAATTAAACTGAAGATTTTCAGTAACCCGCCCCAATTTATGTCATGTAAGTTTGTTTATTCACTTTTTGAGAGAGATTAACATTCATAAGCAGTTAGCACCCTTGACTTATGTTTAAATGCCATTTTCTAAAGTTCAATTTTAATACTCTCCTGTTAATTTTAAAATAATTAAATAGGTTTTAAAAATAAAGCTACCAAGTGCTGTGAGGTTTCACACCCATTTGAAATCCAAGCACAACATCCATTCATTACAAATTTACCTGTTCCGCACCCTGGGGGGAGCAGCATTAGCCAAGTGTATGCATGTCATCGCGCCTAATCACAAAATTGCACTTCAGAGATAATCACTTAGTGCAAGAAAACAAAGTGAATGCTGTAATTCTATTTCTCTTAAATCTTAGAATCAAAACGGACAGACAAGAATAGGAATATTAAAGTGTCTAGAGATTCCAAGCGAGGAACAATGTGTTATCTGTCAGCCTGTTACAATCAGTCGACCTAAATTAAAACCATATAACAGAGCTACAAACTGAACACAATGGGCCCCATATCCTGGTATTTGTGCTTCTTTGATTTGCTCTATTCACAGTCTATTATGCTCCAGTGTGCAGGAGAGGAGAAAATGACATGCTTTCCTTAGTCACTGAGTATTTGAAAAAAAGGTAATTGAGCCAAAAACTCTAAGATAATCAGTAGTTCTTTTAAGGTTCATTATAAATTGTTGCACAAAATGGAATAAAGTGTTGGGTTAGCAGTACAGACCAAATGAGGCTTCCAAAGCAAAATAACTTCTGGAGGTCAAATTATTTGCATAATAAAATAATGTCAGATCTTTCAAGATTTTCAGTAACTTTTTTTTACTGGTAATTTTGACAATTTAAGAGAAGCATTAACTCTTTCTACATCATCAAATTGGGACAGATATAATAAAAGAAAAGTTTAACACATTGCAAGTATCACCTCATTCAATTTTTCACAAGCAGTCTATCAAGTAGATGTTATTATCCCCATCTTATAGATGAGAAAACTGAGCTTCAGAAATATAAAGGAGCCACAGTCCTGACACCCACACCATACAAACCTCCCCAGCCTCTATGAATAAGTTGTATTTCTCTTACCATTGAAACACTATGAATAATAAACTGCATCTTTATTTTATAAATCACTTGGAAAGATTTAAAGAAAACACTGCAATTAAATATAATATACCATCATTGTAAGACGCACCTTTACCTCAGAGATGCCAAAAATACTGGGAAGAAAACAGTCTATAAAATAATCTATAGAATGATCTTAACTCAGTTCATGATAAAATATCCCTTTAATATGCTTTCCACATAGATTCCATTTTTTGAAGTCCTCCCCCATTCAAAAAAATTGGAACTAGTAACAATATCTAGTTTTTAGATTTTTTCAAAAGTCAATGGTAGTGCCTAATTACAGGCCAACCGGAGCTTGTGTTCACACAGTAACCAGTGTTACCACATTCGGTGTGATGGTCTGGCCAAGAACAAAATGCTGGGACATTTTTAAAAACTGTGCAGAATTGAGATGAATTTGGTATTTCCTTCGCCTTTGGAATACTGAAAATAGCGTCTGGATACCATGGCCCCAACATATGTTCATCTGTTTTAAGGTGCCTGGATAAGAAACATTCTAACCATCTCCACATTGATATCCTATCATTCATCCATCCATACACATAATAGAAATACAAAAATCATCCTCTGTTCTTGAGCGTTTAGTAGAATAATCACTACTCACAAATCATTTCATTGCATTAGTGAGTGCCTCAAATTATTAGTTTTTTATGAGTCCCAAATACTCATCTGTAACTTCTGGTGGTCACAGTTCTAAAAGCTTTTAAGTTTTTAAAATTAAGACATTTTCACATCTTTCTTTTATCAGCTCATGTAGACCAAGCAGTCCTAGTAACTTCAAGCATTAGAGTTGATTTATGTGATGTTTTATTAATATATCTAGAACCTACTAGGTAATATAGTGTTATGTCGAAAATAGAAAAATGAACAATATCTATTGTTAAGGATTCAAAGTCAAAATGAGAATAACAGCATAAATAATTAACACAAAGTGCAAGGATGGAAACACAAAAGAAAGGCAGGGGCGGAGACTGCCTGGGTCTGTCAGGGAACCTTCATCAGAGGGGTGCTCTGAACCGACTCTTGAAGGATGAGAACATTTTAAAAAGCAGAGAATGAAATAAAAAAGAGAGGGAATATTTATATATGGTCTAATTTTACTTAATTATATATAATTTATAGGATTATCTAGGTATTTTTGGTAATTATAATTTCTGTGGGCTCTTGACACTTCATTGTCTTCTGCATAGTTAGGATGGTTAGCAAGAGTGTCCATGGGGCGGTTACCTGAGACATGACCACAGGTCATGTCCAGGCTATTGTGGCCCAGATGTGTGGCGGTGCCATAGTTGAATAGTTCAGCAACAAGAACATTCAACAAATTCTTATTGAGATATTTATGATAACATCTTTTAGGTGGCTGAAGGAAAATAAAAGGGAATTTCTATTTTTAGCTCACATCTGACCAGAAAAACGTTAGTGAGGTGCAATGATGGGAACTTGGAAGTCTGTGAATATATCATCCCAGACATTATAAGAGCCAAGAGAAAAATAAAATAAATTGTTTTTAGATATGTTGATTACACAGTTCAGAAAGTTCTGGGAAAATATTTTATAAGTGTATGGCCAGAGACTCCATGAGTA